TAGATAAGTTGCAAATTTATATGTTTGTATATGGACACTGTGTTCCACCAAAAACTATCCACAAATAATAATTCAGAAGTAAAGAGACGTAAAAGTTCCCAAGGCAAATCAGTTTTGCTTGAAAGGAAAAAATACCAGAGCAAGACCACGACCCTTTCCTTAATTAAACTTAACAAAAAAATGAGAGTATCGAATTCATCAAATCAAATATCTAATTTTAAAATTTATCAAATCATTATCAGGAAAATAATATTTTAACTAATATAAAGTTGTGATCTAATGTTATATATTCGTATGTGTGGCATTCAGTATTTTTTTTATTTTATTGTTTATGCCACACTAAAAAAAAAAGAGAAGAGATTAAAATATCAAAGGAAAACTAAAATAAAAATTTTACATGGCAAGTTTCAAAAACAAGAATATTGAGATGTTTTCGAAATGTTAATGTGCGATGTTTTATAATATTCTTAGTGAAATCATGAACAGTTCGTCACACTTTCTTGTGTAAAATATTTCTATGTAGGTAGGCAAAAAAAAGTTTATAAAATAAACCAGGCTCCAGACATTTTCTCTATAAAAAGTTTTTAATAATTTTAATGTATTAATTTCTCTTTGCTTTCAGTACAACGAGATTCTAATCAAATAATCTATTAATCCTTTAAAGCACATATATTTCACGAGAACCTAGTGACATTTCCGCCAGGTATCCTTATGTGTTCGAGGTCGCTGATTACGAGTATGTGGACAAAAATACAATTTGGCAGTTGACAGCTGTCTAAACCGTGTCATATTAACAAAGCGACTATAGATCTTGCATAATGTTGCTGGTAAAGTGGTTTTTGATATTGCCGATTAAAAATATCAAAAATGCCTCTTGACAGTTGTCATATCGATTCTGATAAAATAACAGAATGAATTGGCAGTTCGAGGAAGTCATTTCCTAGAGTTTTTCGTTTGTCGTTGAAAATCATTCAGGCGACAGTGATCATAGATAGAGACTGTCAAAATAAAAGCGAATCGATATTGTTAAAATAATAGCACCCAAGGGATTTTTGAAGTGGCTGATCTTCAATTTGACATCAGATATGCCTTTTGAAAGTTGACAGCTGTCATGTCAATGTTATTAAAATGAGAACATGGATTTTTTTTTTCAAAGATGATTTCCCAGGGGTTTTTGGCATCGCAGATTCTAAAATATACACTGGAAATGACTTTTGAATGATAACAATACCATCTGTCATCAATGACACTGTCATGACCGAATGAGTGTATATTGCGAAAATAATTATTGAAAAATGAATAATTCATCTGCACCCATTCATTTTGGGCCGCAATGTTCACTGAACACGATTCAATCTAAAGAGAAATTTATTCTGTTAGTTTGACAGCATCGACATGACAGTTGTTAGTAGTCAAGAGACATTTTTGATGTTCGACAATGCCAAAAAACCTTTCACCAACAGTATTCTCTAAGATTTCAGGTCACTTCGTCAATATGACACTTTTTTGGCAGTTGCCAGCGACTGATCAGCGATCCTTGTATACATTTCCAGAAAAAAATTCCTTCAACTCCCGTCAAAACAGATTTTTTCCAAAAACAGCGGTTTTTTCGAGTTTGTTTATTTATGACATTATTACAACGATTGACAGAGCCTCCTGGGTAATGAAGTAATGTTCCTGTATGGGTAGGTAATCCGAAAATGAAAGAAATAACGAGTTCAAGCTTTAAATTGAGAATAAATGGCCAAAAATTGATAATTTAGATTTTTATAATTTTGAGAACTGATTTATCTCGAATCGACGTATCAAAAATCTTTGTTTTTTTTTTAGCATAAAACAGTTTTAAGTCATTCAATTGTAAAAGTTATAATTTATTGTATTGATCTTGTAGAAAATTTACTTAAACTTTCATTTCTTTATCCACCATTCAGATTTAAATTTAAATGTTAAAAAAAATAAAAAATAAGGGGTTTGTATTTATATAGCTAAAGGAACACGTCTAATTTTTTTATAGTAAATTTTCAATGATATTCCCATAGAAATGTAATATCTAGTAAGATATGTTCAAATGTTATCAGAAGTTTTACCTTTAGTCTTTTAAAACTATCTACATAAATAAATCATAGACAATAATAAGACTGTGATTTATTTCAACAGTATTACAAAGCTCCAGAAACGTACCATCGAACGTAAAAGCTCGATTTTATTGCTAGTTCCAGTTTATAATTATAACAGTCTTGATTTATCGTATTACTTTGAGCTAAAGCAATAGGGATATACTAGAGCATATTACGAAACTAAATAACTCGCTTGGTGTGCCATCTGCCTGCAACTTTTTAAACCGCAACCACCCCAGGACCTCCATGTATCCGTGCAGCTGCCACTTTTACTTTCATTCATTTTAAACTCACTTTTCAATGCTTCTTCGACTAACCGGCTTGTACCCGAATCCTACATTTCTATCGGAAAATTCTTTCTTTAAATTCCTACATTATCTTTAAGTAAGAAATACAAAAAACGTTATTAAGAAAAATTGTCCAACCAATAAAAAAAAATAACCTAATAATGTACGACCTACCTTGACCTTCTGCTAGCTCCTATATTTTTTTTATACAGAATTAGTTACACATACATAGTGATACAACTCTTTTTTATGAATATATGAAAAATTAGGATATGAGACATTATTTTATAAATTAATAGGAGGTACATCTATGTACAATTTAATCAGACCATATTTGTTTTTATTTTCAATATTTCCTGTGAATTAGTCTTGTTTTAATTATTGTTTTAAAAAATAGAAAAAGATGTTTTGTTATAACTAGTAATAAATTTGCTAAACTGATGAATATCACTATTTTCAATGTAATTTAATTAATTACCATTAAAATTACTTCACGTGAACTTGTTCTCGAAACACGCTTTTAAACTGACAAATAGAACAAACATTCCAGTTAAATTGTGTCTGTTATCCCGCATCCCTGAGTCACCTGCCGAAGCGGACTATATTTAGCAAAAACTAGACAATCTATTAAATCGTCTGCAGTTGCTGCAATTTCTTTTATAATTACTCAATAATCATTAACATTCACAACTCGACTATTACCTCCTCAACAAGTTCTAGCTCGGGATGCAAACCTACCTACGTACTACCATGACCGTAGAAAATAAGGATTTGAAATAATTTTCGCAAAAGATGTAATATTCATAACTACTCCAGTTGAATTAGAGTTTGAACGTAAAACAATTATTAGTAAACATTTTATTGCTAATATCAAAAAACTAACTCGAATGAAGTGATGTTAAGTTGGCAAATTGCAAATAAGTGACGAAATTACGTGTTTCTTCATTCTTTTACTGCCCACTTTTTTTTTTAAATGATGAATGTTGATGAAATTGATGGAAAAGGCGGTTGATCATTGGATTGACTATCTTTTCCATAAATTTCATCAACATCCATCGCTTTTTGCAATCATAATGCACAATTATCGAAAACTGATTTTTTGGTGTTCTACCTTTATTTTACAGTTAACAAATTGGCGAAATATGACATTAGGTATCTTAAATTGTAAATAATTTAATTGTCTACAACATAAAATTACTAATTTTCCGATATGTCGTCTAGATTTTCATGGGCAGTAAAATAAAATGAAAAAACACGTAATTTTGAAACTTATTTACAATTTGTCAACTGATCGCGATTTCTATCGAGTTAGCTTTTTGATGTTATCATACTACATACCCTTGCTCGTCATAAAGTACTATACAATGTCTACTAATAATTTTTTAAAGATCTCGGGATTTGTTATCTAATTCGACTGGACTAAACATAAATATTTTACTAGACTATTTATTTTTTAAACCTATGAGATACTTTAATATATGAACTTAGTATTAAATTTTGAAAAATATTTTAGGATTCAAGATTCAAAGCAAAACACCATCTGATGAAAAGAATGAAATTTTGATATTTGATACAATTTCTCTTCTATTAGGTTTTCGTTCGTGCTAAAATTCGACCAGTTCATCCACTTTTGGTTTTAACAAAGATTTTATCTATTCCATTTTATTATTACCAGTTCTAATTTAGTCCAATATTTGTTTAAAGTAGTGTGGGAAACTTTGAACAATTACAAGAATCAAAATATTTTCGGTAAAAGCAGCATATAGGATGAGAAATCAACAAAATTACGGATAATAACAATGAAATAATTTAATACCTACATGTTTTGAATATATCTAATTAAAAAATCATGTAAATTGGAAGTATTTCTTCCAAAGTTATAGTTATTTTTAATTAAAGTAAACTCAATTTAACTTACCTTTTACTTAATTTCTAATAAATAACATGAGTAAATGAGAAGAATAATAAATGGTGATAATAATTATTTTGTCACTTTTATTGTCAGAGTGCGTATGGTTTTATGTAATTATTATAATATTTACAATGCAAAGTCATCTAATTAGCAGGTAAATAAAGTAAATCAGAAAACATATGTTGAAGTAATTCTCTGTATTTAAGAGAATGAAGAGAAATTACTACTAATTTGATAAGTGTTTGTAATTAAGTGTTACTAATTGTATTTTTGAAAGCAAATATGTCTACTAGGTATAGAGAAATATTTCTCTTGATTTAGTACTAATATATGCAAACCTGTACAAAGTTGAATTACATTAAGCTACTCAAAAGTCCCTTGACTTGTTACGCCCATGTGCATCATCAAGCGGCGCGACATTTTTTCTTTATATTTATTATAACTACCTACATTACCATATCGACATGTGTTACGAGGCAGGTGCCGGCTATAGCACGCGCCAGAACTCAGAAACACCTTGTCTATTTGGAAATTTATTAGTTTTTTGTTTACGTCATCCCAAGCATCAGCTGCCGGTCGAACGGATCGATTAAAAATTAAATAAATAATGTTAATGTTATAACTTTATTAAAGTTTGTTTGCCATTCGGTATTCACACTAATAATAAAAGTCGGCAATTAAGTAGTACATTTTATTAAAAAATTATAAAAAAATCGTTTTTACTCAGTACATTGTGCTGCAATATGCGTATCAAAAATATATTTACAGGATATTCAGTTGACGAAAACTGGAGTACTATCAACTAACATTACAGAGATTCAAGAAAATTCTTACTCAGTACGATATAATTTATTTAAAAATAGTAACAATTAGAGAGCACATGTTTCAGCGAATTTATTCAATTTTATTGCAATTTTCTTTAGAAAATCTTCGCCTCGATCAACTAGTAACGATGGAATATAATAAAAACTTATATACTATAATATAAACAATATATACACAATATATTTACATAAACAATGACTAGAACAACAATTGATAAACTCTTGAGATTCTTCAAAAATATTGTAGCAAATATCACTCTATGGAATGAAGAAGGCACTGGGTTTTCTTAATTTAAGGTATTTTTTGATTAGATTCACAGACTGGCCTCAAGGATTCTGTAACAAAAAACAAAAACCATTAGTTTCTTTAATCGTTAGAAATAATAAGTACGCTAACAAAGCAACTAACTATCCAAATGTTATTTCAAGGAATCGGTCAGTGTTCTCAAACTGGCATGAATTCGCGGTTATTTTTTCAACTCGCTTTCTCAGACAGTATTGTTAAACAAGATTTAATGCACTAGGTCTTATTTCTTAAAGGAACTGGTATGTATTAAGGACCCCTGTCAAGACGTATAAAAAGACCCGGGGCACAAAAACGGTATTTTACTATAGGGTAGGAAATAGGTCTCTCAAATGAGAGGGGAACGAACGACTTTGCTTTATAATTCAGGTAGATTTCGATTTTAAAACAGGTATATATTCCAACATATGAGCCATTATTCAATATCAAAATATCCAGCGATAAGATAAACACAAATAAGGTTATACAACGACGCTGCACCGTTTCTTATCAAACTGGAATACGTTTTAACAAGAGCAACAAACTAATTATTTTGATTTTATAAAAAAACGTTGTCTACACATTTAGAAATCTACCTGCAGAAAGCATTATTCTAAACAATGTGACCGCAGGGAGTCTTAGTTGTAACAAAATGTCAAAGTTACTAACGATTTTGAGGCACACGTGTGAATAAAAAACCTGCCATGCAGAAACGTTACGTGAATTATGTTTTTGGCAATGATAAATGCAAGCGAAACTACTTATATCTAGTCGTTATCTCCCCGAATTTTTATAGCTGAAGCATTTTAACAGTACTTTCCGAGTCGGCACTTAAAAAGATAAAAGAAGTGGCTCATAAAAGAAAAAATGCCGACCAATTTACACGAATTAGTAGCCGGCAAGAGTTAGTACACTAATTATGAAGTGCTAAGCGTTAATTTTATATTCGAATAACTCAAAAATACGTAAAATAAATACTAACCTTAGACATATTTTATTCTTGCTGCCAAGAAAAAATCGCATCAAGAAGTTCTTCATCCTCTGGACTTTTCGGGTCGTAGTTTTCGTAGTTCTCGGTGTGGTGGTACAGGGCGTTTGTGTAACTCTGTGTCGTGGAGAAGGAACCCTCTGAACTGTGAGAAGGTGTCGGGGATGCAGAGGCCTCCGAACACGCTGGGGTGGGCAAGAGCACGGGGTAGGAAGTCGAGTAGAGATGTGTTGAGTCCGGGCTGCCCGTGTAAAAGCGATTTTCATTAACAGACTGGGAGTCACTGGCTATGGAACCGCTGTTGGTCATATCACTTTCGTGGTCTTCTATCATCTGTTGCAGGGAACGGATGTATTCAACAGCCAATCTTAAAGTTTCGACTTTGCTTAATTTTTTCGAGGCGCCCCTTCCTTGGGAGGATCCTTGGGGTGACAGGGCTTGAGCAACACTCGGTGGAATGTGCGACCTTAGGGTTGCAAAGCCGTTATTGACCTGCTTCACACGATTTCTTTCACGTGCGTTTCTTCTGGCCACCGAAGCGGGTTGTTGAGGTGGTGCCCCGTAAGGCATAAATTGAATTTTTCTCTTACATCGCAAGTCGTTATTATTTGCTACGAGGACAGAACTCCTCTCTGGAGCCGGTGCCAGGGGCCTCTTCGTCGTGATGACGGATTTTTGCGCGGGCTGGGAAACAATAACACAGTTAGCCTGGGGTGCGGAATGCTGGATGACGTTGTACATCTTGTTCTGGTGCCCCAATGTCATCGTAAGAGCCATGTGTAGCACTAGAGGTAAATAACTAAAGTTCAGCGCGTGAAGTTAAAACTGAACGCAAGCGCGTGTTAGTCAAAGCACAGGACGGGCAGTAGTACGCGAAAGCTCTAAATGCGACCAACAGAATGATTCCTTCCGTTGGGCAGCTTACGGTTTTCTATGGTCGAGGCCGTCCCCACTACGGGTAGGGTGCGCGCGCTCGCTGGGGGTTGTACGCGTGCCAAGAGACGTGAGACGCATGGCAAAGGTTGCCGAGGACCTCCGAAAAGCCGTCTGGTGCCTTCTTTGAGTTCTTTGCTTATTCTTTTCCCGGCTGGAGCCGGAAGCTGTGCGGATGGCGGTTCAGTGCTGCAGTTTGGTACTTCACTACGCGATCGCCAGCTGCAGCGGCATAAAACAGATGCGGGGTTAGCGCCTAGACAATAATATGGCACTTGCAAATTATAGCAACAAGTTGGTTTTGTTTGTCGACGCCTGTTGATTGCACTTGTTCACATTTATTTGTTTTGTTTTGTAATTACTAATAGTTTGCTTAGTTTATTTTAAAGTATGTCATTCCCTACTCACAGCAATTTTTTTTTTTTTCATTTAGAGAATTTATGAATGAAAATACTTAGTCACTACACATGATTTAAATAGAAATTAAATAAAACGTATGCAACACCTTCTATTAATTTACTCATTTATATTAAAATACGGGTACAAAAACATATACATATAAAAATAGAATTTAAATATTATATGTTCTTTTACAATTATTAATAGCTATTTTTTTTTAATAATGAACATATACGCTTATTTGTTGTTATTAAATTTAAATATTTACATGCAAAAGTTAATAACACATATTTTTAATTTTATACACAGACCTAAATAGATATATCTCTGTCTGTCTAATAATAATATCGAAACCTTGGTAAAGAGTTTTATAAAGTGATATTCATAGAAAAGAATTTTTTTTTTGAGAAAAACATTCTTTTCAGCAAATAATAAATAAAATACGTAAATATATGACAAGTAAAGAAACTGAAATAAGTTAGAAAGTGGGAAAATGAAATACGAAAATTAATAATTATTTGGTTAAAATTATATTTGAATTATATTTGAAACTGCTTGGCCAACCTTTAATAACGCATACTACGTCACAAATTAACGAAAAAAGTTTTTATAAACATGTATCCACAACCACTTGATTTTTAAGATACGGATGTTAATGTTTTTTATATAACAAAAAAAACGGTTGAAGTAATTTCAATCAAAATCGATATGAACTTTAGTTTTGATCGTTCACAAAGGACATAGTTTCAGGGTACGAAATAGATTTAATAATTTGAAAAAAAAAACTGTGAGTTGAATGGGAATAAATCGTTATTTTTTCTTTTCGCATTTTTTCAAAGCAAAGTAATAGATTTTTTAGCAACTCACCGTTTTTTATCTTTTTGTATTTTTGTTAGAAACTGAGTCCTAAAACGGCTCAATATGATGAGTTATTTATTGGTTTTCTACAGAGCCTTCCAAATACTACTGTTTTTAAATTGTACTAATAAGATATCAACCGGAATGAAATTTTGGTTGGATTAGATTAGATTACACTCTTTTAGCTTCCTTTTTCTTATAAAAAGCCTCAATACGATTTTCCAATTTCTAAGTGGTAGGTAAGTTTTCCTTCTTTTTACAATATTTCAGGGGAAAAAACCTTTCTTTCCTAGAAATAACTTCATTTCTACGCAAATTTCGTTCAGTTTAACTCTAAAGCTCTGACCGATTCAAACAACATTTGATACCTGTACAGACCTAGATGTTAGGTTTTGCCATAATAACCATTTATAGAAATGGGAAAAACCATCCACCACTAATTCAATTTGTTAAAATATTTTTCTCGTATAATCTTACAATTTTAGTTCTTTTTTATCATGAAGTGATACCAACGTATTTTTGTATAAAATAAAAACGAAATATTGCATTGTGGAGTTGAGAAACTTGAAATCGGAAAACTTTTCTAGAATTGGTTATGGTGTAACAGTTTTGTCTAACAGGTCCAGCATAACTTTATAATCTTTTTAATGGTGGTGGTAATCTCAGATTATACTGTTTTTATGGAAAATTGCAGTTATGTTCACAACACAATCACTTATTTATTTATGTAACAATAAGATAAATTATTGTCTACAAAATCTGTTTTAATAGTACAGCATAGTCAATTAAAAAAAAACAGTCCGTCCAACCAGAACCTGAAATAAAACATCTCCAAAGAACATAATTTTTTAGTATGCTTGTGTTAATTGTTCCTATGGTTTTGATAGATGTTTTACAGGAACCACAAAATATTTCCTAACAAATACTATATTGCCACTTAAAATTTGAAAGGGCTTAATTTATTTTAGTTACTAATTGGATTGGAGTTGTTATCGAAGTGATGCTAATTGATCACTGTGTAAAATAAAATAAATCCTTGGCTTTAAAAAAAATCAACACACCAGAATAAATAAAAAAGGCACCATTTTTCTAAGAGCGGACAAATTTACTTAATAATTTGGATATAATTAAAAATATCATAATGTTTAATGATAATTAGTGAAAACAAATCGACTTTTTTTGTCATAGGGTTTTATTATAACAGGAATAAGATTTTAAGTCATTATCTTATATTACTGGAAGATATAAAGTAACTGGTAGATTTAAAAATGGTCCACTACCCCTAGGCATAAATAAAACTCGTATTTTACCTGGCCCATGAACCCTTAGCAGGTAAGTAGTTTGCTCATAGAGGGCAGCATTTGCACGTTTATTGTAAGATTTGTTGTAAAATCCACTACGGACCTAAAGAACCGCAGGCCCCTGTTTACTAAGGTGCTTTACACTTTTAGTTACACAGTTAATCTGAGAATTGTATTAATTGCATTTTGCGATAATGAAACTGGTATATCGGGTAATATTAACGTTGTGAAAAAACATTTTGGGGTGATTCCTCCCATCAAAACAAATAAAACCATAGAAGTAATAATATTTTTCTATAGGCTCTACGATTCTTCAAAAACTGGACACGAATTAGAGATTATGATCAATTCTAAAAAACTGTTGATGATTTCACATTTGATAACCTCCAGTTCCCTCATAGTATGTGCTCATGACCAATTCTTCAATAAAACAGGTTTATTAAGACACGACATTTTGTGGAGTAGTGATATAAATGTATGTGATTAAGGACAACCTAAAAACGTATATGGAGAATGATTTTTACTTTTAGTTTTTTCTTAATAAATTCTGTCGTCCATTTTAATGTCATTAACTTGGACAAAACTATAGTGTTAAATTCTAAGATTTGTGATTAGATTAAAAACATGGAAGTAGTGGTAATACTACCTTACGTGAAATGTCTTCTGATCTAGCTACTTAATGAAATATTTACTGGTATTTAGATAGTGACAGAAGCCACCTTGGTATGCTTTTACAAAGTTGGGTTTTTATATTGTCAAATTTTGAACAAAAAAAAATATTAGTAATAGCTCTTTATATACAGGTGGTCCAGCTTCCGATGCGGAAACTTCAGACGCCGATAAAGATTAAAAAAATATTATGAGTTTGCTATATAAACTATATTCGAGAAATGCTTCGGTAAGGCGTTCAAGATTGGTTTAAAAAAATAAAATTTATTAATTGTTGCCAAATGACTTTCAATGAAATTTTATAGACGTTAACTACCATCGAGGGAGCGCGATTTGCAATGAAAACATTATTTTTAATTTTGCCAGTGGCATCTATACCTATTAGCACATTACTTTAATTTCTAAAGAAAAAATTGGTACGCCACTGCTTTTTCATAGAATAAAAATCAGTTTTGGATTTTAATTCAATTTGGAAGAAAAAAGGGTTTTCGAGTAAAAAATAAATCAAAAACCCTTTTAACACATCATATAAATGTAATCTAATTTTTTATTTTAATGAAACTGTAACAGGAAAAACAGCAGAATTAATTAGTGATGTACAACAACACAACAAAATAAAATAAAAATGTAAGTTAAAGAAATTGCTCGAAATTTAGTCCACCCACCTCAATATATTTTCGACATCGAGTAACTAATGAATTTATTGCAGCAGATACTTCAATTGGATTTCGGTGCAGGCTTGCTGAATCCTTAAAACTAAATAAGTAATCTCTTGTTACTACTGGAGTAGCGCAAACTTTGTCTAGTGGATTAAGGTCTACTAAAAAAACTAAAAATAATTTTTTTCATTGTAAAACGTGCTCGCTGGATGGTAGTTCTACAAAATTTAATTGAAATGTTTTAGCCGTTTGTCAACAATTAATAAATTTGATTTTTTAAACCATTCTTGAAGCCTTGCATTTCCTTAACGAAGCAATTCTCGAATATACACATAGTTTACATAGCAAACTCATATTATTTTTTGAATCTCTATCAATCCCTGAAGTTTCCGCATCGGAAACTGGCAGTATAGTTTTTATTATTATGATAATTTTATAATGTTTTCAGTCGAACCCTACTTTTTCATTAACGTGGACCCAATACAGTGTCATTAATGCCAACATTGACTTGAGATGTCTTCTGCTCCTACATCCGTAGGCTTTTTAAAGGCAAAATGTATTGTGACATTATGAAATGCGAATTTCAACTTTCTTTCCATTTTTTCAATTTGTTTTGATAATTGCTTTTGTTAACCTGAACTACATATTATCGCTGTACATGTTATTGTGGTTTCTATATCAATAAGGTCAATAAATGTTATGTTCTTAGCAGGCATTCCTTCGAAGCAATATATTTATTGGCATCAAAGATATTCTATCCATTAACATGAACGCACATTTTTTTCTCAAAAAAAAAACGGGATTTTAGCGTTTAGATACCTTTACAATTTAATATATTTTTGTATTCTAAAAATGATTCGTATGAAAAACATTTCAGCTACAAAAACATATTATTTTACGTTGAAGAGAATTGTTTTTAACGATTTGTATAGACAAATCTTCAAATAAAGCTTCTGTACCTCTTTAGTTTCTTGCGTCTATAGTACCATTCGCGGTTACAAGTCTAAAAACTATGAGAGAGGCGCACTTTTAGCAGCGGACCATATATAAAAATAGGAT